TGAGTAGTACTTCACAACGCTACGACTACCACTACCACCGCACCAACTGTAATTAGTGGAGCAACTGCATTGGTTTAAGAAACAAGGGACCATTGTGGAAGGTAAAGGAAAAAAGATCAAAGTGAAATCAGAGATCACCATTGGAGTATTGCTCATCCATTCAAACAGACAGACGATTTTATCAGCTTCCTTCATATTACACACGTTTTCTCCGCAAAACTTTCTCTCTGCCTGTGAGATGCCGGGTTCGATCCCAATTTGGTTTGATACATTCACGCCGCAGCTGATGAAACCCAACCAGGACGAAACAGCTGTTCAGTGTCTCCCAGCTTTTCAGGTCACGCTTCATTCGCTATCAACACGACGAATTCCCCTTTGAAATATGATTGACTATTATTGAAGACAACTCCAGAATGAACTTCCACTGATGATTTTGGTCAGCTCTAGCGTGAGCTGGCTTGCTCAATGCAAATAAATACGCTTTCCATGCGAGGGCTCTGAAGTTTCAAAACCAGGACCAAGTCACGTGACCTAATTCTTTTTCATTTGTAATTTGGTCCCGATTTGTAGACAAAAGTGTTCCCTCACAACACTTTGACACCTGTCTCCTCAACAGTTCCAACTGATTATAGATGTTGGATGATATTGAACGAAGTTCTGTTTGTGTCTAACAGTGATCCATATCCATATAATCCTGTTATGTTGCAATGTTTTCTAGTCCTATCGGGACAAATCCAATACTTTGTATTGGATGGATGACAATGTTTGACCGACGTGATTTACTTCTATCCTCATGAGTGTTGTTAACAATTATTATTATTATTATTATATGAAATGTGTATTTCCCACGATACACTAGAAGAAAGAGAGCACAACAAAGCTAGGTTGCACAATTTATCCCAAAGTCAAATTTCGCTGCATCTCAACTGGTACAATACGGTAGACAACTGCAGTTGATATCGTTAAACAGTACATCCGATTACATATGAATACGACGTAACTGAATCATTACACTTTTACTATTGCCAATTCAGTGACAGTGTGACTGACAATTGGTTTTTGCATACACACGGCATTTTTCCATTTTCTGATTGCAACCGACTTCGCAGGCTCGTTTATGGATCGTTCGAAAACCATTGTTCGCCTTCAGATTTGTGTTCAAATCTTTTGGAAGATTCCTGTCGCCTTTTTTTATCTGTTCTTGAATCAACCGAAGGCAATCAAGATTGTAAAAGATACACCGATACACACCCTCAGTATCCCCTATCCACATCTGGTCAATGGAGTTGATGATGAAAATCATGGATATCTTACTTTAAGGTTGAAAGCCAATTCATATATAGGATTTATGAAACTAGGTAAATCTCGCAAACTGGATTTACTTATGATTTACACCTCGTGCAAACGCTAAGAAAAATGACGGAAACGACCAAGCATACAGAGTGAAAACAAGATTTTCACTAAACAGTTTGATAGCGCAGTGTATATATCTTCAGAATATCGTGTTATAATTAGCCCGTTCGATAATCAACGCAAGCACCAGGCATTGTTGATGGTTTGGGCTGTGAGCTCCTAGGGAGATTGTAAATTTTGCACCAGTTTCGTGCATATATTTGTAGCATAAATCTCAGTGATGACCGGCACAGAGTAGTGGACATCTGTTTCGTCTCATTCTGGACTCGTCAGCGGTGCGTCGATTTGCGTCCCTACGGGGACTGATATAGTTCTTCTCTCAAGCTATTCACCCTTGATCGTATTGATCACCGGTAGATATCTGGATATTCAACCGATTGTATGCAGTTGGGGACCCAGTTGGCAAGCAAAATGAGTGCGCAGCTGATGAGCCCCAAACAGAACGAAGCAGCTGTCTAGTGTAATTAGTCGGTCATCCCAGAGGTTTATGTTGCAAATAAATAGAGTGCAGTCCTGCCTCCTGAGAAAAATGCCCAGTCCCAAAGAACTTGCGTACATTATTTCTTTTTTTTTTGAATCATAATCAAGAGCGTTCTTCAATAAAAAGATTTTGATTGCGACCGGTCTACAAAATCCCAGCTTGTACAATGCTTAGTGGACATTCCAGAACCTTTATTTGAGGAGAGTTGAAAGACATATCAATCAAACTGAAACAAATATTTCACTCAGTTTCGTAGTATCGATCCCATCGGTGATAAATTGTTCTTCTTCAGTATGTTTATTTGAAAGTCACGAAGTAGTTATGATAAATACTTGTTTTTGAAATTCTTTCTAGTCCCATCCTGTACAAACTTTTGGTAAGCGAAAACATTCATATGAATAGGGTTTTCTTATCGATTCTGTCTTTACAAATCATCGCAATGGGGGACGTGTCTGACTGACATTTCACATTCTCTACTTGTTGTATAGTAGCCCTTTAATTGAACGCTTCTCCTTCCTGAAAATTGTATGGTTGTACGTTCAATAAAAGAAAGTATTGTATTGTATTATATTGTGATAACTTCTGAAGGGATGAATCCTACATTTCAGTTAAAAGTACACAGTTTGGGGTAAGGGGGAAAATGTTCTGGGTGATTAGTGATTACCTTGTCTAAAAATGAATCACCTCTGGTGGGAGACAAGCAAATATCAGTTAGGCCAAAAGAAGTTATGGGATAGGTGGATGCATGATTAAAGTCACCAACGATGATTTGGAGACTATCATCTATGAGTGGAACGAAAGACGGAATAAATTCATCAAAAAAAGATAAAATGTGAAATAAAAGGATGAAAATGATAACATTCTGGGGTTGGTTTAGAGGGTAGTTAACGTACTATATACCAGACATTATAAAAAAGCAATATTCGTTGCATGATCAGCTTTATTCACTATTCACAACTTGGTCAAATCGTACCAGATGATGAGAAAAATTGTTAGCAATGTACGCAAACAAGGGCAACCTCTTGTGCTGTCACAATGACAGAAGAGGCTATCGTTTCTGAGCAATTAAACGAGGTTTTCGAACGTGTGTTGTCTACTACAGACATCTAAACGTGTCGTATTGAACCGATTACTTCGGTCATAGATTCCTCATTACTTAGTGGGTTAACTGTGTCAATATTAATCGTTCAGATTGTTATTTTGGCAGGTTGAAATCTTACATTGAAAGTGTGGAAAGTTCAGTGAGATTCGGATCCACGCACCGATGCCACCTATGCTTTTGTACAGCGCACGATATATAGGCTGAGCTACAACGAGGCCACACGGACAGAGCACTGATCTTTTTTTTCAAACCATCCATTTGAATTCTGAATGTTTCACAACTTCAACACAAGACTTCAATCTAACAAAACAACAATTAGAACAATTGATCTTGTCTTAGAAGTTCATTCGGTGGACTCCACTGAACTCTAAGCGAAACCTATTGCGACAGTCAGTTTACATGCTAACTGGTGGATGCCATATGCTTCCGTAAATTGGATGGGTGGTTTGAATGTGAGAACATCAGTGCTATCGATGTGGCCCGTAGTTCAACTGGTAGAGCATACACTGTACAAAAGCGTTGGCGACGTCCATGTGTGGATTCGACTCCCACCGAGTCTACTAAACTTTTCACAATTTCAACAATATTAACCATGGCTAAGATATATTGAATAGTAATTGACTGATAAGTCACGTGAACCGAGGGGGTCTAAGTAGCTGACAATCACTTACCGGCAAGCATCAGAATACCTATTTGATTCAAATTATGAAACGAACTTCGGAAAACGTTTCTGTATCAGGCATTCTGTTTTGAGGCGAAAAAATGGACAACGCAGAGTTATCTCACCTAAATCCACAATATCACATCTGGGGATATGTCAATATAGTCACATCCCACGTGAATGAACCGAGACCCGATGATCTGTGCAAGGTTAGGATCGATAAGAGTCACATTTTCTGGCGATGAGTCACAAAATCAGTCACCGTTGTCATCGGAGGCTCAAACAGTTAGGATCAGTCCGAGTACAGCTGAAAAGAGGAAAAGTATAACTAACGTTGCACAGAATGCGTTTAAAACAATCGCGATTGTTAGAATCAGTATTCTCTATTGCCCAGACAGTTTCATACTACTAAACCGTTTTTATTTCATTTATGATTGACCATCAACTGCATGCTTTCCGTAGCCCAAATACTGTCCCCTTGTAACTATGGGGACTTACACGTTCCATTGCCTGACAGTAGGGCGTTTTTATTAAAAAAAAACGTATCGTCATAGTTACGCATTTTGTCATCGTTTGTTGGGTAGACCGTATAATTAACATATGAGTCATGCATAGAATATTTCGTGAAGCCCAAGTGATCTCGTCGTGAGCTGGTAATCGGTCGGTTAATTCTCCAACCAAAACGGAAACGTGTTTGTCAATAAGACATAAACCAGTTGCCATCACTAGCGATCGGAACCAAATCCGTATAACGATTTTATATTTAAACTCCCTGATTTTCCTATGCAAAATGTTTCTCATAAACCCAAGCCGGCAATGAAAAGAACGAAAACAAAAGGTCATATTTGAGGAATCATGCTTCACTGCACCCGTGGTCCAACTGACCACAATGGGCGATCATCATCCCATGCAATACTCCTCGGTGGATAAACGGTCCGGAATAATAGTTCATCGATCAATATTTGAATAAATTGTTGCAATTTTTCAACTGGCTGATTGAGAGTAATTTTAAAAATAATCTTGGTTGACAGACAAATAATGATTTCAAATGGTATGAATGATTCGGGTCTGAATGCAGAGTGACTGATTGTGGATTGAATTGATTGTATCTTGGGCTCGGAAATGATTTTAACACACTGACAGTCCTACAATATATACCATAGATAGAATAAGCAGATGTTTATCGAATGATTTCAAAATCATATCACACAAATATCACATAACATTCTGTTGGTGATCTCATGATACGATATTGAGATTCGAACACTTGTCCTCCGGAACGATACACGGACGATCCTACACGACTGAGCACAATTTTATCCCAGTTTGTTTGTG